CAAACTTGGACCTTTGCCATGAGCTCCACACCAACATTCTAAATATGCGAGCAATTGTTTTCCATTCTAAAGGCTTAATGTGAGAACTTGAGAAAGAAAGCACAGGTTCTGTTTTTACCATTATGTTTGCTTGCTGAATTGTGCTTATTTGCAGAAGAAAATAAAATAAAAGAACATTTAAGGCTACTCCACCACTGAAGCAAATGCCAAGGTAGCTGCCGTCCATAATGAACTTAAGATCAGCACACTAGATAATGGCTGATTGACTGGGGTAATCAGTACATAACTTTCCATTTGTCAATTAATCGGCAAATAAATCTGTCAATCTTAAAAGGTTTTATATGAAGAAATATGATAAAAATAGTATCATGAAAGATTGGCACAGTCTACAAGATATTCCATATACTGTGTGTACTAGATATTTCAAATACAGGTAAAAATAAGACAAAAAGTGTAACAATGTGGAAAATTTAATGAGTTAGACTCACGTGTTAGTATGTACCCCAGAAAAATGAGAAGTTACACCAAAACCTGCATGTAAATGTTATAGCAGTTTTACTAATGATTTAAAAAATGTGTAAATTCCAGAGGTATTTCTATGGGGGAAGGAACACGAGGTGGCCAAGCATACAACAGGCGCAGCAGGAAAGGGCAGACCTGGGTACACACTCTACCCTGGGCAACAGGGAAATACTCCGTGAAAGCCACAGTCTCAGGTTACAGAGTTCTACTTCCATTTTATCCAGTCCCAAAAGACAAGACATTGGGAATGAAGACTAGGTCAGCAGTACTTAGGGGTTAAGAGGGGCAATCAGAAGTTCAGGGGCCCTACCACAGGAGATCAGGTAAGTACCAGTTCATAAAAATGGTTCATTACAACACAGTGGCTAGAACTCTACATTTTGAGTCAATTTTGATTGTATCATTAAACAAAACCAAATAAGTATGCTATCGATTTTTCTTGAAAAGAATCTAATAATGATAAAATTTTATGCATAACTGCTGTCAATTTTAAAACTGTAAATCAAGCTAATAATCTTCCTGCTCCCAACCAGTACACATATCATCACTCAGGTGATGTTAACTAGGCTTGCCTGGAATAAGTCCGCCTCCAGGCTGGGAGTAGGTATGCCCACACAGTATTTTCAAATCAGAACTGACAGATCAGTTCATTTTTAATTAATAATGTGTATGTGTGTATAAAATGATGCACCATGTACGAAACGATATATGAAAATGGTGCGTCATGACAATTCTTTTAAGCTGAGATTAAGTTACAACCAAATAATTAATAGCCAACAGGAAAACACTCAGGCACACAGTTTAACATGTATCTCTCTCTACTACTTACAGACTGCTTGACTATGTCAGTCCAGTCTGGAGCAACTGCAAACTCAGGGTTCTCCTCCAGCCACCTGGGCAGATCCTTCATTGGAGGGGCCATGGCTCCACCCATCTGGGGAGATAAATCCGGTGAACATCTGAACACCCCAGAGGGCTCCCTCCTGAGTCCCCTCATCTCCCTCTTTCCAAACACAGACAGGTTCTGGAAGAAATGCAATTCTTGGTCCTCAGCAGCCCTCACTGACATTTACCTTCTTCCCATTCCGTTTGTTAACAACTGGGACCCTCTCCTCTCCTGTCAAAGTGTTTATATCCAGTTTGTTAGGATTCCGACATCTATGTCGCTTCTGTTTCGGTTTCTGAAACGAGGAAAACAGCATATCTGCATTCTTCTGCAAAAGAAAAGGAAATATTTAATGAAGCTATAGTTAGTACTGGCCCCTTCCTAAAAATGCCTAAGAGAACATGCTCAAGTACTGTGAAGTTTTAACAACCATTTTCACTTAACAGAAACCACACTTTTCTGAGAAAGGATCTTCCAGGACCGACTAGACCATCAAACAGGTACTCTCTTAGAATCCGCTCGACAAAAAAGTGAAAACTCATTTATTTTTTTGTGCATGAGTATTTTTGTGAGTACTTGGGTTCAATACCTGGCATCAAGAACAAAATGGGAGGAGGATGAATGTGTTCAAATATTTATAAAAATCATAGTATTTTAAAAGAAACTTTGTATAGTACCTTTTATCTATTTTTAGTCAGTGACATAAATGAACCCAGATATGATACCCTAGATAACTAGATGAGATTTTTGTCTTTGAGATGATGGGAGGGGGGTGGTGGTTACTGTTAGCATCAAAAGATGAGATTGCCTGAACTTGATGAAAACAAGAAACTCTGTCTAGAAGCATAGAAGTATGAGGTTTGTGTTGCCAGCTAAAAAGTGGCCTATAGGACTCTGACTGATGTTTAGTATAAAACAGAAGGGTTAGCTGGGTAGTGGTAGCTCACTCCTTTAACCCCACCACTTGGGAGGCAGAGCAGGCAGTTTGAGGCCAGCCTGATCTACAGAATGAGTTCCAGGACAGCCAGAGAGACACAGAGAAACTCTGTCTTGAAAAAAGAAAACAAAAACCAAACAAAAACAAAAACCCAACTAACCAACCAGACTGCAGTACTTACTGGTACATAACTGGGCATATCAACAGTGTAAGTAGGATGCAGCTTCAGCCAGTCAACCAAGTCCTTATTTTTAGGAGCGTCTTCTCCCACCAGCCTTGTCCCATCTTCAAGGTTTATCACAGGGATCCGTGTGTCAGGGTCCAGCTGTCCAGGAGAAGGAATGTTTCGTATTGGTGGGGTCTCTATATCTTCTTCAAAAGCTTTGGTCACCTCAGCATCCTCCTGCAGGAAGTGGAGAGTGATCTGAATTGTTGCATGATGAGATTCTGATAATGTTCTACCCCAGGAAAATCCTCTCCCAGCCCAACAGATCCTTCACCAAAAAGGGAAAAGTTATCTGAAACAATGTCAGTTCTAGGATAACTTTCAAATTAGAAGATGACACTTTTAAATCCTCACAAGGTAGAAACAGTACTTCTGTAGGAAATTCAAAGTCTAAAGGGCCAAGCATGCCATTAGGACTACACCAGCATTCTATGTGGCAGCCTAGTCGTGTATGAACAGTGGGCTCCCAGGGACCCCTGGGTACTGCTCTAACACGCACCAGTTTATAAGTAACGGAACACTGAGAGTGGCACAGCTTTGTTGGCAGAGCATCGTTTTGTGTTAGGCAGGTGTGGAAACCCCAGAAATTAACACTCCACCCTCATTCTGCCACTGGTCTTAAATGCTGTCCTTTCAACATTTAAACACCCATTTCTTCATCCACTGGTTCCCCTTCCCTCCTGTATTATAACAACTTTCCTTATTCTGGGTCCCAACACTCTTGAGTGCAACGTTCATACTGGGTTTTCTAAAGTGAATAATCTCTTCCTGGTTCCAAAGCTGCCATTTAGTTGCTCCCTAGTTAGACTACTTCAATAACTGGCTCCCTGACGCCTTCAGGACATCCACATGTTCTTCAATGTGGCACTCTAGGCTTTCTATAATCTGCACATTACTACCACCACGTCCACATCTTCATAACTTCCTCATTGTATTCACCAGCAAAACATTCTTGTCTCAAAGGCAGGCATGAGAAGTGCTCTCTGCCCCACCTGGTACTTCTGCTCCAACAAGATCTCCAAAATTTAATGACAGACAACTACCTTCAGGAAAATTTCCTATGGGCTCCCCAACTTCCTTCAAGCACTCCAAGCCCTTCTTTGGAGCACTGCAAGCATGCCTTGGTCCCAGTACACATACATACCTATGACATGTCACTGAAATTGGGTCCCCTTAACCAAAACACCTAAAACCAGAATGTGTTGAATTTTGTATTTTTGAGTATTTGTATATAGACCATCAGACATACTGGGGCTGGGATTCAAGTCTAAACACCAATTCATTTTATGCTTATATACATCTTTACCACATAGCCTTAAGCAGTTGTTGTGCATTTTGGGGGGTGTTGTTTTGAGACAAGGTTTCTCTGAGTAGCCTTAGCTGTCCTTCCTTGTCTATCCTGAAACTGGCTGAGTAAACCATGCAGGCCTGGAACTCACAGAGATCTACCTGCCTCTGTCTACTGAGTGCTGGAATTAAAAGTGTTCGACGCCACCACCACCTGACTTTAAGCAATATTTTTAATATAACAATGTTTTCAACTTTTTCCGCTGATTCTATGTGTGTGTGTATGTGCGTGTGTGTGTGCGTGTGCGTGTGCGTGTGTGTGTGTGTGTGTGTGTGTATGATAATGTATGTAGAAGTCAAAGTTCAGCTTTCAGGAACTGCTTCTCTTCTTCCACCTTTACGCCATTTCTGTTAAATGATGTCACCAGATGGGTGGTAGGTGCCTTTACCCACTGAGTCATTTTTCCTGCTCTGTAGCTAGCTCTGATTTAACTGTGACCCTCCATGTGAAGTCAATTGTGGAATTTTCTAGTTTGTGTAACGTTGCTTCATGAAAGTTTCCGAATTTGGAACACTATGGAAGTTTTAATTGGAGAATACTCAAAACATACTTTTCTGTTGTCTTACCCCAACACTGGAATTTCCAGGAATGCCCAGCCACTTCAGTGCTTCACTCTGACACACAAAACAGCACTGGTGAAGCCACTGGAGGCACACTCCTCTTCTGTGACAGCAGAAGTTGGAATGTGGAGACGAGATTGTGCTCAGCACACTTTACATTGCTGATCTCCACACCTATGCCGACTCAGCACTTTCCTTATATTTCATTCATAAACAAATCAGCCTCTATAATTAGGGAAATCCCTAGTTTATGAGATCTAAGTTTAAAATGTCCTTAAAAAGACATTTTCTAACATCTGTTAAGAGTTTCTAGTGGGAGATACATAGTGGCATACATCTTTAATACTAGCACTGGGGAGGCAGAAACAAGCAGATCTCTGAGATCAAGGCCAGCCTTTCTACAGAGTGAGTTCCAGGACAGCCAGGGCTACACAGAAAACCCTGTCTCTAAAAAACAAAACAGAACAAAAAAACAACAAAAAAGATTTCTCTTAGATTTAAGATTCAAGTTAACTCTTAATCTGTATGGACACTTTGTTTTATACCCCACTATGGAGCTAGCTATTTCAATGACTGCTATTTTGTCACTTTCCAAGCATGCCTTTTCCTCCTTTTAAATTAGTAAGTCCCTCTCTAGGCTCAAGTAACTGGTGCTTGACTTTGTGGAGCACACCTTTAATCCCAGCACTCAGGGCCGCAGAAGCAGGTGATCTCTGTCTGAGGCCAGCCTGGGATACAGTGAGATACTGTTTTACAAAAGGCGGTGGTGGTGCAAATAACAAGAGATGGAAGAAGCAAGCCAAGCCAGAAAAAGTAACCAGCATTTCTTAATTTCAAATCAGTTCAAATCATACCCATGGAAAGTCTCATGGTGGCCCAGCCCAACATGGCTTTATAGATTAGAGTTTCAAATCAATAGCTCAGGATATGAAGCTCTCACCCCTTCACGGAGCATATGTAATGGAGTTCTTCAGGGTAAAATTCTTGCTTCAGAGAGTCACAGGTCCCATTCTGGGGTGATGTGGTTGAGGCAGTTTGGAAAAGGGAATTTATTATACTGCCTTTTATGTCCTTCTAATTAAAAATCCACTGACTTGTCCTCCAACTAGCAATGAAGTGTCTCAAATTTCTAGAACAACCAGTTACAGGGTGTGATAAAGTATTCCAAGCCACTAGTTAGGCATGGGTACACAAATCAAGGCCTGGCAGTAAGTGTTTACACTAGTCTAACTGATGCCGGAGGCTTTGCCTCCTTAAGAACTGAGATGACAACTGTGTGCTCAGAAAAACAATGTTTCTGCCTTTTGCTAATCTTTCTCAGCAATACATATGTCAGAACCTCAGGAAGAACAAATCCTCCTGCAGCCCCTGCCTCAGGCTGAGTGATCTACCTGCACCAGGATCAACACAGTTTTCTGGCTCAGAACCACAGCTCCGTCCATTGTAATCCTGCTTCTCTGGTGGAAGAAGCCAGCTTCAATATGATGTTGCTGAGAGAAGAGGGGTCGCAGCCCAGGGCTGGCTGTCAATAGGGGCACACACAGTGGGGGTCAACACCCAACTTACTGCACTTAACGCTGTCCGTTTGTGGCTCATGAAAAATAGGTCGAGGCCAGGCTCGTTTTTCCTCCTGCCTCGCCTCCTCTTCATGGGGGGCTCTCCATCCATCAGGGAGCCATTGAGCAGATGCCTTGTTGGTGTGTGCGAAAGGCCTGCTTGCAGCAGTTCCATCTGAGTCTTAAAGGCATCAGACACTGGTGTAGACACGTTAGGCAAGATAAACTTTGAAGTAAGAGATGAAAACTTTGAGGTAGAACTTGTTGCCTCTCTTGAGGCCTTTGATAAGTCCACAACTTTTTCTTGTCCATTTTCTGAGACCACCTGAGACTCTCGAAGCTGGGCAACCATCTCCATAAGATTTCGCCTCTTGGCAGCTCTTTCAGCCTCTATCTCCACTTTTCTCCTTCGCCGCCGCCGTTGGCGAGGGACAGACAGGTTAAGGGCATCGTCCTATTGAAAGATTCCCACAGAACAGAGTTACAGTGAGCCAAACCTTTATCTGCTATAGGGGTTGGCATTAGAAAAACTGAGATCACCAAAGGCCTGAACATTCTATACTGATGGTTACAGCTGTGGAAACAGCAATCATCTTATTGTGCAGTCTGACTAGTTAGCTGGCTGTCGTAATGTGTGCCTGTGACTTCAGCTACTTAAGAGGCAGGAGCCAAAAGGCTGCTTGAGCCCAGGAGTTTGAGACCAGTATGGGTGACACAGTTAAACAGATATACAAGACCACATCAGACTAGTGGGCACAACCTCCTGAGTCAGTTACACTTCACAGAAACTTCCTTCCAGCACAAAAACAAACTGCTGCGGCTTACCTTGGACAACTGAGGAGAAGTGGTAATGTCCTCACTCCCGCTGATGCTGGCCTGGCTGACCATGGAGAGCTCGGTAAAACTCCTCTTCTGCAGGGGACTGTCCATGGTGGAGGGCGTGTAACCAGGGACGAGGCCCTGGAAATCAAACATCTGGCGCCGGTTTACTGGCCATTTGCCTTTCAGTACAGCTTCGCAGATGTTGTCTAATCGGTTTATCATTACTCTGTCCTGGAGGGGGAAGAGTCACAGGGAATTTGTAACAAAGACCTATTAAAAATTACTGGATAAATATGTCCACCAAGATACTGAAGAGTGCAGAGTGATTAAAGGTCAATTACTGGGACTAAAGCAGCCAAACAAGAGGTAAAACAAAAAAATCCACCCAAGTGGCTTGGTTCTGATGGGATACCCTCACTGCTCTAATAAAGAAAAAGGACTATTTTCAACCATGCATGCTGAATAACACAAAATAGGGAACACACAGAGTAAACAGCACCTTCCAAACAACCTCAAATTGTAACTCATTCAGGCTTCAAGAACCTCAGTGGGTGACAATGGAACCTCTCACTTAGCATTTCAGTGGTCTGGCCCTTTAGATCCACAGGCCAGAGTGCAGTGTGTCCCAGGAAGGGGGACATCATTAGCGTCACTATTAATAAAGTTCAGCATTATGAAGTGGGCACCAACCTAGGAACACCTAATGAATGTCAATCTGTATTCCCCACCTATTATCGCTCCAAATTTCATTGAAGCGTGCACATTAAAATTTTCTAATTACAGCTCCTTAGACCAAGTTTCCACAGATTAATAGTGCCTGAGACTGTAAACCTTTGACTATTCTGAGAACTCGCCTCTACACTCAATGTGGGAAATTATTAGAACCAGGAACCAAGAGGCCACAGAGAACTGAAAAAAAAATTCTCGACAGCATACCCTTCAGACAAAAATGTCACCTCCTTAAGCCACATTAACACCAATGAAGTCTAGCTTGGATGAATTACCTCAAGCCCATGGTGTGTGGTACTGTTTTAAAGTAGACAGCCCCTGTCATGGCATATATGATTACTTCCTGCCTCGAGAAACACAGACCCAGATGGCACAGAGAACATTTTGGAGAATTATGCTGCCTAACCAAAGATCAATTTTCCTTTGCCTTGAGTTATAGATAACTACATCCGGGATGACCCTGTGATGAAGGGGAGCAAAGGGGTCCACCACCATCCCTTCTCAGAGTTAAGAACATAGTGGGTTTTCAAAAACATCATTTCCAATAGAAAAGCTTTACTTAATCTTTATAAAGTTAAGAACATGGTTTCAAAGCTCCATGCTTTAAATTTTGTCAAATCTATTGAAAAACCCATAGCTTCTATGAAACAACATGACAGACTGTAGAGCCCTATGGAGTGAAAAGGATCAATGGTTCTTATTCTACCATACAAGTTTGTTTTTTTTTTTTTATCTTATTACAAAAATATTCTAAACGCTTGTTTTATTCTTCCCAGTCATCCTTTTAAAATAAAGGAATATTCTGCAATCTTTATGTGCTTGACAGCATTTACCTCAAGTTACTTGAGAAATCAAGCTACAAAGATTTGCTTCCTGCTCTTTTATCCAGTCAACAGAACAGTCACAGTAACAAACCCCACCCACCTTGGGCCAAAAGGAGAAGGCAAATGTCCGCTCATGAAGGAGCTGAGCCACTGATGGGTCTCCATCCTCCATGTAGAATCCATCTCGGGTTTCATCCCTAGCAGTGCTCAGAGAAGCATTGCTTTCTTCATCAAAATTCTTTCCTCTAGAGACAGCTCCTGCTGAGACATGAGTTATGTGCAGCATTCACAGCCAGAATACACTGAAGCTCACGTTTAGAAGGGACAGTGTCGAACATAGGAATACAATCCACCTCTAGTTTGCTGACTGCCTACTATAAAGATACAGGGTGTTTTGTAAGTCTGTGTTGTCCAAAGCTTACAACAGCCCATTAATGTAGACAGTGCTCCTAGCTTGTCGATGAAGAAGCCACGGAAATCTTTTCTATGTGGTCACAGAGACCAGGGTCTAATGTAGCCCAAAACATCCTCAGCCTCACTATACAGCTGAGGCTGGGCTTGAACTTGTGATTCTACTGTTTCTCTACACCCAGGTGCTAAAATTACAAGCATACACCACTACACCAAGTAAATGTTGTAGGCGCTGAAGACTAACCATGCTTCTGCTCTGTGACACAGGACAAGGCTAAGATATCAGCTAATGAGGGAGGACCACACAGCAGCAAAGTCCAACATGGTGCCTTGTTTCTACTTTGTGTGGGTTATAGCAATCTGTAACATGGAAAATGTGATATCAACCAATCTTCATTTATTTTTAAATAATTAGTATTTGCCCAGTGAGTGACTCTCTTCCCTCATACTCATTTGTCCAGCTTGACAATTACATGGAATTCTTGGCATACCTGACTAGGAAGTTAACTTATGTCCATAAACCAGAAGTACTGATGTGTGCACAGCAGCTCTGAATATATACTGTTCGAAATGTGCTGACAGGTAGAAAGTACCAGGACAAACACATGTAATCATAAGTGAACTACCCCTTCACGGAAGATCAAGGTCCCCTTGTGCACTTCTGGAGCTCAGTATGTAGAAGAAACTGACTCTAAACACTGGAGGTAAAAGTGCAGGCCACCACGCCTTATTACTTTGAAAAAATAAGGCACTTTGCCATCAATGACTTTTAAAAAATAAAGTGCCCGAGGTATGGGTATGGTGGTGGCGCACACCTTTAATCCCAGTGTCCTGGAGGCAGAAGCAGGTGGATCTCTGTGAGTCTTAGGCCAGCCAGAGCTACAAAGTTAGACCAAGGCTGTGCTCCACTGTAGGCTATTGTGGGATCAGGGCAGTGGCAGGAGCCAGGTATTCATCATCCTCTAGTTTTTCTTCTTCATCCTCTTCTGAGCCTTTCTCTGAGACAGACTTGGACCCAGAGTCTGCACTGCCCTCCACGCCTTTGAGTTCACTCTTCAGAGAGCTGGCTTCAGCCTCACAATCCTGCTTGCTGTCCTTGGCCCCACCACCAGCTTCTTCTTCCTCCTCTTTCCCTTCTGACCTCTCTCTGGCAGGTGAATGTTCAGATTCCTCCACCTTGCCCTCAGCCTGCTCAATTACCTTCTCTTCGTGAGCATGAGCAGAGGAAATGGCTGGAGGAGTCTGGCCAAAGCCCACAGCCAAAGCATTCAAAGAAGAGACAGAACCGGCCCCACGGTTCTGGGCGAAGCTTTTATGTGCATCTAGGAAGGACAACTCGGGATCATTGAGGATGTGGTAGTCTGTCCGGCTGACCCCGTGCTTAGCAGCACCCACCAGCAGGTCTCTGTCGTGCCGTCCACATTCCCACCACTCAGGCAGGTCTAGGCTGGGCTGACAGAGTTTCAGCCTGTCACTTAGCTGCGGGTGGTGGAGGACTTGCTCTCGGATCTTGCGCAGTAGCTCAATGCGGTACAGGGTCCTAGATGCTCGTTCTTCTGTGATGGGCTCAATGAGGGAAGCCAAGTCAGGTGGCTCTGTAACATGAAGCATGCTGGTTACTTGGGCAGGCCCCTAGCCCACCCTAACCTGCTTGTATGGCCCTGACTGTCTAGTGCACAGTGTGGCTGGTCATCCATGTACCTACCGTCCTCAGGTTTGGCAGGCACACCACACACCCGCCTGCACATGGCCACAAAGCAGCTGAAGTACTTCTCCAAACTCTCATCAGATTTTTTGTCCAGTCTGGCAAAGGCGCGGAATTGGTTCCAGTCAAACTGCTGCTTCACAGGGTCAAAAATAACCCCGAAGGTGGATACCACACGGTAAAAGTCAGCTTCTTCTCTTCTAGTCCACCTGAAGAAAAGGAGACCTGGCTCACACCATGCTCTTGAGGTGGGCTTACAGGACACTCTGTCTTTTCTCTGCCCCCAGGGCATATTTCCAGGACTTATTTAGGATTGAGGGACAGACACCTTCCAGGCACGAAGCCTTTCTTTGTTGCTACTGTCTGGTGTGATCACTGCTTCTTGTGGGCCTAGTAGAGAAAGAAGGCACCCGGGTTGGGGCTGGGGGTGTGCTGCAAGGAAGGTGAAGAACTCACTTTTGCCTTTTCTCAGATATAATAGCTTCCCTTTCGGCCTCCAGTGCTCGCACTTCCTCCCGAGGCCGCCGTCTGCGCCGGTCTGTCTTCATTAGGGCCTCTTGCCTCATTTGTTGCCTTTTATAGCTGCGCTGATAGGCAGTAATGAGCCGGCGCAGACGTGTAGTCAGGGTTGACGTGTTCGGCCAGTAAAGTTGACCTAACTCAGCACTGCTCTCGCCGTGTTTGCCTGGGGAAGTGGGAGAAAGAGTTTGAAACGTGTCCTGCATTCTCACAACACAGACAACGTTCCAACAAAAATAGATGACTCCTTAGCCTTCTGAGGACAGAGCGGGACAGGCCAGCCTGGCACACTCAGATTTTAAAATGTAAACAAGCAGTAATAGCTGTAAAGAATTTATAAACAATTTACTTTTAACTCCTTTGAGGGAGGGGGGAAAAGTTTATCAGTCTTACACAAAGAAAACTAGTCTTTCCTATAAATGTACTTACAGTGGTAATCTTGAACATAACAAACATGTAACTATTTATTGTCTAACCATTTTATATTGGACAGAGGGTCAGTAGTCCACACAAATATTTCAGATTAAAACAAATGCCTTCCTCTCAATAAAAATGTTTTAACGACCTTAAGTTTTTCCACTAAACAATGACTATAAGCAGGTTAATTATCTCAATCAAAAAGTTCTATTCAAGAAATTTAATGTAATGAAAACATAAAGAAGGATCAACATTATTCCCAAGGGAAGGGGCCATGTGGAAGAAGACCCTGTGAAATACAGTCATCATGCCATGGCATGCGATCCTGCTGCTGGCACCGCCCAGCTTGTCCTCAATGTTCTATAGCTGTCCTGGAGCCTCACCTGTGCTGTGCATTTCCATGGGTTCTTCCTTATCCTCTGGGGGAGAATTTGCAAATTCCTGGAAAGCAATGCAAGAAATAGAGCTATTTTCAATTGGGATTTGATTTTTATTTTCTCTTTTAATCAAAGATCATTATCTACATAAAGTTTAGCAAGACCTATATGGGCATATAATATGTTACTGGCACCATAAAAGCCAATACACTCAAAGTCTTACATCTATCTCATCTTTGAATGGCACTCTGGTTGGTTTGTATTCTGGATCTTCATCTTCTCTATCAAATTCTCCACTGTGAAAAATTAAAAAAAACAATTGTTTAAATCACATCAATGAGTAAAGGAAGTGAGAGGGAAAAACACCAATTAACCCAATACTATACAGACAGGATCAACTGGTAAGCATCAAGTTCAAACAAGACATAACAGAGTGCACAGGGAAGCCTAAGAACTAAACCCTGCCAATGAATATAACACTGACATAAAGTTTATTAAAATTTTAGGATGTCCTTCTTACCCGTCACCACCATCTGCTAGCATGTCTGTCCCTCTTTGCTCTGCAGCGATGGCCTTGGCATCAGGCATACCCAC